AGATCAGGAAAGACCAACGAACTATTTGTTCTAGACTTAAGGAAACTAAAGAGAGATGCCAAGTAAGATGTAACGTATGATCCTGGATTAGATGCTAGGCCAGAAAAAAAAATTATAAAAAGGATGTTATTGTGGCAACTGATGAAATTTTAATATGGACTGTGGATTAGATAACAGTATTGCATCTATGTTACATTTCCTGATTTTAGTAATTATTCTGTTATGTAAGACATCAGTTATGTAAGAAAGTGTCCTTGTTCTTAGAACATACAAACTGAAGTATTCAGTAGCAAAGGGGGACAGTGTCATCAGCTCATTCTCAAATAGTTCAGGAAAAAAATTATATGAAGTATTTGAAAGAGAAAGAAAATGATAAAGCAAAAGTCAAAATGTATACAATAAGTGATATTTCGTTAAAGAATTAAGGGTTACAGGAGATCCTTATGCTATTCTTGAAAGTCTTCTGTATGCTTCAAATTATGTCAAAACGAAAAATTATTTTTAAAAACATTTAAAAATTAAAAACGACAGCAAAACTAAGGCCTTGTTAGTTAAAGATACATCCTGAAGCATTTAAAATGCTTAATTTACAATATTCCAGAAAAAGGAGAGGGAGAATGTGAGAAATGGGGTGGGGGGATTTTTTTTTAAATAGCAAAATGTGGATAATTCTTGTTCTTGAAGTTGGGTGATGGACACATAGGGATCTGTTGTATCAGTTTTTGACTTTTGCATATGTTTGAAAATTTTCCATAATAAAGAGGTTTTACAATTTTAAACCCCCTCGAACGCCCATCCTGCAACTGCACCATTGACAACGATAATTCAATGCTCGTCCCCCCCCCACACACACACACATTCCAGCTTGCCCATTCTCCTGACAGTGATGGTAAAAAATCTGGGTGGTTTGCACTACTCCCAGATTATAATCTCTGTTCAAAAACAGTACTTTATGGGAATTATTTGACATTTAATAGACATTCAACTATGTCCCAACACAGGAAGTGACAACTACAAGCTGGGGTTCTCTTAATGTACTTTACTAATTAATACAGAGTGATGGAGGTTTATGTTCATTATTTTTCTATTCAGAAAAAATGTTCTACAGCACAGCTGGAATCAGAAACCCTAGGCATTTGAAGCTTTCAGAAAGGCAGCCCATAGGGGAAGGAGCCTTTCTTACCATACTTTGAGATGATCCATTCCCATATATCACATGTAACTTGACCTTAAGTTCTAGAAGATTTCATTCTAAGGTAACATTTATATTGTCTTTAAGAAATTAAATCTTGGGGAAATTGGTAGGAAAAAAGTCATTGCCAAACGGAAGATAGAGAAAAAAAAAAGTTGACATCAAACTTCAATAGACACTCCCTGAAACTCTGTGAAACGAGGAATCTGGCTGGCTTCGAACCTTAATCAAACAAAAGATCCTTCTGTTTACTATGATTTTCTTCCCTCAAGGCATCCCAGGAGCAACTTCATTTAGAATGGGAGAAAACAACATAAAAGGGCCATTAAGTTAAACCATTTAGTGGCAAGTGCAGTAATAAGATTTAAACACATTGTATACCATGTTTTAAAAAGCACCACAAAGACGTTCGTTATTTAATTTTATTCTCACAAACACCTGTAAGGCAGGCTTGAAACACTGCATTCATCCCTATTTTACAAGTGAATAAACTGATGCTTACCGTGACTGACTTCACCAAAGGCACATAATAAGTAAATGACAATGCTAGTTTCCCAACTCCCTATCCCCAGTGTTATTCCCAAGAGCAATGACAGGAAAATTCACGAGAGATAAACATTTAATGAACATTCCCCTGCCATTCAGTACATTACCTGTCATTGTTTCTAAAGCAGACTTTGCAAGTCAGGATAGACTGGTCTAAGTCAACAGCTACTGATAGGTTCACAAAACAAAGTCAAATCTGTTTTTATCTTCTGCAACATTTCTGGTAGAATCTGATATCAACATATTACTCACAGAAACATACAGCTTGATGCCATGGAGAGTCTCTTGTCAACTTCATGTGCCTAGGAGGATTTTAGAAAATCATTTTTAATTAAAAGTGCCAAACACTAGAATCAATCTGAGATATTCTAAATACTAAAGAGAATTAACCAGATAGGATGACTGGCCTAAATTCCACAGGGATGAAGGAAGCGAAACCATTGACTTAACCTTTGTGTTCAGACGCAGGTTTAATTCCTACTGCACATAATGAAAATGCTGCCTGCAGACTCCATTCCCAAACTTCCCAAAAAAGGCAGCACTGTCATTTGACAAATACTTAATTTAAATCACTCCAAAAGAGTTCATGCAGGTATAGATGCACTTTGAGGTGCAGGAGGTTCAGAAACAGCCAGGAGCAGAGATGTGGGATGACGTCACCTCCTGTGGTTAGCACCGCAAAAATCTTTGGTAAATTTGATAAATAAATAAAATGGAGGTAAATGTAGGATTTTCTTAGCAGACATCTCCTGCGTTTGTTTTTATATTAAAAGAAAAAAGAAAAAAAAACTGGGCGCTTGGGTGATTCAGTCAGTTAAGTGTTCAACTTGGGCTCAGGTCATGAACTCACAGTAAGTGAGTTCAAACCCTGCCTCGGGCTCTGTGCTGACAGCTCAGAGCCTGGAGCCTGCTTCAGATCCTGTGTCTCCCTCTCTCTCTGCCCCTCCCCTGCTCTCCCTCTCTGTCTCTCTCTCAAAAATGAACATTAAAAAATAAAAAAAACAAACTGATGTGCCTACTATATCTTAGATAGTTGAGAGATCCAAACTAAATCTCCCTGTATTAGTCTGCTAGGGTTGCCATAACAAAATAGCATAGACTGGGTGGAGGTGGGACTGGGGGTAAACAACAGAAATGTATTCTCCCACAGTTCCGGGGGCTTAAAGTTCAAAATCGAGCAATTGGTGGGTCTGATTTGTTCTGAGTCCTCTCTCCTTAGCCTGTAGAAGGCTGCCTTCTTCCTAGGTCTTCCCCCAAGGTCCTTCCTCTCTGATGTATCTTCTGTGTCCAAATTTCCTCCTCTTTTAAGGATATCAGTCATATTGGATCAGGGTCCACCACCCATTTAACCTTAATTACCTCTTTAAAGGCCCTATCTCCAAACACAGTCACGTTCTGAGGTACAGGGGTAAAGGGCTTCAACTTACGGATATGGGAGGACACGACTCAGTCCGCAATACTCCTATTGCCTGAAGCCTCAGCCTATTCGTGCAAGGTCTTGGCCCAAGCTGCAACCAACAAGATGAGATTTGAGTGCCTTCCCCAACCCAAGCCGAGTTCCAGATTTTCACCAAACCCATGTCATTTGAGTTCCCCTCGTGCCCTATTTCTATTCCATACTGTACGTTTAGAGGCAATGGCTTGGTCTGGTTATAGAGCAAAATGTAGAGAAAACACCTCTCACCCATTTGGGAGCTATCTATCTAATTGCATTTGGTTCAAAAAGAAAAGGCGATACTTCAGATATTTACTTGAGTCTGCTTATGGGAGCTCAGGGCCCAATTTGCCCCGTTACCAGCTAGACCACCCTATACTTCCCTCTTTCTTTGTTTCCAGAACTAACAACAAGTGCAAATGCTACCAGGTGTAAAAGTATATAATTTAGCCCATGACAAAGGCCAACTATTCCCATGGCACGCTTGGCACAGAACACGTGGATAGAGCCCGCAACTGGACATCCCGGAGCCCATGCTGGGATAGGACCTTTAGCTCTCTGCTTCTTATCTCGGGACACTGGTTACCGACTGCAGTCTACAGTCAGTTACTCTTCTGGATGAAGATGTACTATGAATACACATCTGTATCTCAGAGGTGCCTCAAGACGTCGTAGAATGTTGTAACTCAGCCATCTGTCAATTATGTAAAAGTAAAGAACCCGAGACATTGGGCATCACTGACATCAAAATCTTCCACCAACAGGTGATGCTATTTCTGGCAGCCTTGCCACTGAGTTTCACTGTTTTGTTGACCCTGGAATGAGGCCTCTGATACTGCATACTTGGGGCTGCAAGAAGTCCTCCCCACGCATCTCCCTCTGAGTGAATTCACACGCACTGTCCTGGAAACACAACTCAGAATGCTTAGGCACTGCCGAAGAAAATCACACAGCCACGTGCAAAATGCTGCCCCTTGCTCTCTGGTTCCATCTGAGTCCTCGATGCTGGGCTCTGGTCACAGTCCTCTTTTCCGCTTTCCACTGTGGTGTTAACATTTAATCCTCCCCTCGAGCCCTTTCTTTCACCCCTACCCTTAGAGTGACCAAAGGTCAGGTTTGCCCAGGACTGAGGGGGTTCCTGGGCAGGATGTGGAACTTTCAGTGCAGAACCCTCATTACTCTCCTACCTCTTCATTCCTCATCTAATGACATCACTATTCATATCTCAAAAAAAAAAAATTAAAAAATTAAAAAAAAATAAGGCTCTCAGGTATAAACTGCCTCTAATTTTTCCTCCACCATCCCTTACCTGGACATACATCTGTACCCACCAGTTGTCTTCAATCTTGGAAGCCAGGGTATCCCATGGCTGATTCACAGCCCAATTCCCCAGCTTTAAGATGGATCTCCCTGTATTTAACACCTCTTTCTTGCAATGTCAACATTTCTTCACCTTCCCCCTCACTATACAAATGTGTACAAGTCTTTCCCATCTATAAAATCACATATCGCCCCCCCCATGATGTTCCCCTTTATTGACAGCCCTACTCCTTACCCTTCCTTCACCACTAACTTCCTGTTTTCTTTTTCTTCTTTTTTTTTTTTTAATTTTTAATGTTTATTTATTTTTGAGAGAGACCGAGACAGAGCATGACTTGGGGAGGGGCAGAGAGAGAGGGAGACACAGAATCTGAAACAGGCTCCAGGCTCTTGAGCTGTCAGCACAGAGCCCGATGCGGGGCTCGAACCCACGGATCGTGGGATCATGACCTGAGCAGAAGCCGGTCAGGTCTTCTGCTTTTTAAAAAAGCACACAAGGGGGGGGGGGGGAGGGGGACTTCAGGCCGTCTCTACTGAGCTCTACCTGTCTGCGAGAATGGCGGGTAGGGGGAAGCTAATTGCGGTGATCGGAGACGAGGACACAGTTACTGGCTTCCTCCTGGGAGGCATAGGGGAGCTTAACAAGAACCGCCACCCTAATTTCCTGGTGGTGGAGAAGGATACAACCATCAATGAGATCGAAGACACTTTCCGGCAGTTTCTAAACCGGGATGACATCGGCATTATCCTCATCAACCAGTACATCGCAGAGATGGTGCGGCACGCGCTCGACGCCCACCAGCACTCCATCCCAGCCGTCCTGGAGATCCCATCCAAGGAGCACCCCTATGATGCCGCCAAGGACTCCATCCTGCGCCGGGCCCGGGGCATGTTCACAGACGAAGACCCTCCCTACAGCCAGGCAGCTCCTCCCCAGGCTTGCCCTCAGTCCTTCTGTGAGTTTTGAGCCTCTGATTTCCAATTCCCGTGCCCCTTCCCACTCCATTAAGAGGCTAGGTGAGGTGCTTCCAGGTTGCTGGGGCTCTGCCATTAAAGTCAAGGCTCGTTAGGGGGAAAAAAAAAATGAGCCACCCAGGCTCCCCTAACTTCCTGTTTTCAATTGAGGTATAATTGACACACAATATTAAGTTAGTTTCAGGTGTACAACATAATGATTCAATATTTGTATGCATTGTGAAATAATCACCACAATAAGTCCAGTTAACATTCATCACCACATACAATCACATACTTTTTTTTCTTGCGATGAGAACTTCTAAGATTTACTCTCTTAACAACTTTCAAACACACAACAGTATTGACTAATCCACACCATGCTGTACATTAAGTCCCCATGACTTATTTATTGTAAAACTGGAAGTTTGTTCCTCAGAACTCTCTTCATCCATTTTGCCAATCCCTAACCCCCCGCCTCTGGCAATCAGTAATCAGTTTTCTGTATCTATGAGCTTGGCTTTTGGTTTTGTTTCTACTTTCAGATTCCACATACAAGTGAGATCATAAGGTATTTGTCTTTCTGTGTCTGACTTATTTCACTTAGCGTAATGCCCTTAAGGTCCACCCATATTGTGTAAAATAGTGGAATTACATTCTTTTTCATGGCTGAGTAGTATTCCACTATATACATCTTCATTATCCATTCATCTGTCATTGGACACTTAGGTTGCTTCCAGGTCTTAGCTATTATAAATAATGTTGCAGTGAACATGGGGGTGCAGATATTTTTTTGAGTTAGTGTTTTTTGTTTTCTGCAGATAAATATCCAGAAGTAAAATTGCTGGGTCATATGGTAGTTCTATTTTTAGCCTTTTGAGGAACCTCCGCACTGTTTTCCCTAGTGGCCGCACCAATTTACTTTCCCATAGACAGAGCACAAGGGTTCCCTTCTTTCCACCCTCTCACTAACACTGGTTATTTCTTGTCTCGGCTGGCCATACTAATAGGCGTGAGATGATATCTCATTGCAACCATAAACTTTTTGAATGAGATCCTGAGTGACCTCATGGACTCCAGCAGTTCCTCCCAAATTTTTATCTCTGGACCTCTACTAAAATACAGATTTTAGTATTGTATTTTATTTATTTATTTGTATTGATTTATTTGTATGTATTTATTTGTATTGATCCTCTTAATGAGCATCTCTATCTTGATAACCCATTAAGTATCTTAAACTCAAAAAACCTAAAGCAAAGTTTTCATCTTTCTAATATGTCTCTTCTTCTAAAGTTACTGTCCCAGCAAATGGAACCACAATGCACCTAGTTTTCCAGACCACAAATCATCATGTCATTGTTTTCATCTTCTCTTTATGCCTCACCCCCCTAGCCTCCTGTCTCCTGAGTACCTTTTCTTACTCTCTCCTCTTGGTCCCACCTGTCCTTACAAGTCTCTTGGCTGGTTTCTTAACTCCCTAGTCTAGACCCACATGCTTCAAACTGTCATTCATAAGGTTGACATCTGCAAGGTCATGGACCAAGCTATTCCTACTATGTGGGAGTAGAGAAAATCTTGGAGTTAGCCCTCTGAACACTGAAGCGGCCCCAAGAATGTCTCCTTGGAGCTGGTGAACAATTTCTAATACGTTCATGAAAATGGCTGGATCAGTGTCCCCACTGGTTTTGGGGCTGATTGAAATAACAGTATAAATTAACTGAAGGTGGTCAAGGAGGCTGCCTGTGCTTCTTTGTAGGAAAACCATTAGCTGATGGGCAGCACTGCACTTGTATGGAGACCTAACTGTGTCCTTATTTCTGCAGCATTAGCCCCATAATCTTTAGTACCCCGCATCTGGAGGTTAATGGTTGCTAACAAGTCAGGCTGTTACAGATGCCACTGGTCATTTTATGTTAACTGATATGATTTTCTTTCTTTTTTTTAAATGTTTATTCCTTTGTGAGAGAGAGAGAGAGAGAGAGAGAGAGAGAGAGAGAGAGAGCATGAGTGGGAGAGGAGCACAGAATGAGAGTGACAGAGGATCTGAAGTGGGCTCTGTGCTCAACAGCAGTGAGCCTGATGCAGGGCTCGAATTCATGAACTGTGAGATCATGATCTGAGCTGAAACGACTGAGCCACCCAGGCGCCCCTTTATGATTTTCAACTCATGCCTACAATGTCCTCCTCCTGCTCCTTTACTCCAGCCACACTAGCGATCTTGCCATTTTTAAGTAAGCCATTTTCTCTTCCAACTCAGTGCCCTTTTCAACATTCTCAAACAAATAAACTCAGAAATTAACAATAATGCTTTTCATTTGGAAAAATAAAGTAAGAAGAATGCCTGGAGCATAACACCTGCTTAGAAAGCTGTGTTGCTCCTGGAACTGTTTGCCTTCAAAGCTATTCCTGGCAGGATGGGAACCTTGATCTTGTGTTTCCCAGGTTCTTTGTCAGCTAGTTTCTTGCTGGCTTTCACCAAAAGGAGGTACGGCTGACAGATTAGAGAGTGAAAGAAAACACTCCAGAATTATTTTTCCCTTTCCTATCTCCTCCATAGCTCCCAATCAACTAGGCATGCCTGCCTGGTCATATCTTCTACCAGGTGACTCTGACATGTGGAGGCTGGCAACTCACCTGTTCCCTCTGTCCCTTTAGTTAATGTGGGACAGCAGCTTCTTGTGAGTGCTCCGCTTTTGGTCCCTCCCTGCCACCTGGTTGCCTTCACAGCCTCTTCTGTCTATTGTATTACCAATTCCCAGCATTAAAATCTTTCCCTTGTATGCACTCAGAATGGCTTCTGCTTTCTTGGCCGAACTCAGATATAAAAACATGTCCTGATCTCTACTTCTTCTTACCCAGCCTGTCACAAAGGCTCTGGGGGGCTCCCTTTCTCCAGGTTGTTGGTTTAACTTTTGTGTTCCCACAGCACCTGTGCATACTCCTAGGGGTGGGGATTATGGTTTTCTTATCAGTTCCACCCCTCAATGAGCTTCTGAGGGCACAGACAATGTCCTGTTAATTCCAGTGCCCCCACTGTTCTGCTCACTGCTCAGGGTACATTGGGTGCTCAAGATTTTCTCACACACACACACACACACACACACACACACACACACACACACAACTTTTTTCATTCTTAAAAAAGAGTCTATGCTAGAAATATATGAAAATGTAAGGCAAGATCCTGACCAGAATAACACAGAATTTAAATGAAAACTAGTATATCTGTGGATTTACTTTTTTCACTAAAGAGGAAGGCTCTAGTAGTTGGGCTTTATTTACTCTTTGGAGTCTTTCAGGCTATGGGATCACAGTCCAATCATTGGGGGACAAGTCACTTTTTATTTCTGTGAAGCAACTTAAATCAATAAATATATTAATTCTTCTCAGCAAATTCTTTGGAACAATAAGGAACTGTCATTTTACTTCTGGTGGCCAGACAAGGAAAAATCAAAGGAAAACATCTCAGAATGCTAAGAGGCCCTTAGAACTTTGATGACAGAGGAACACCCCTGATGAGTCAGGGCTCCTCTGGAAAAAGTCTGGAGCTTTTTGAGAGAGGGACTTTATTATTATGTTCAATAGAATGTAAACCAGTTCCTTACCACATGCTACAATGTAAAGTGATTTACAAAGCAGAAATATATTAATATCATTTAGAGATTAGGAAAAAGATCCATTGAAGATAAATTACATCATGTTCTAGTGACAGAGTCAGGATTACCAAATAGCGTGCCAGGAAGTCTGGTCACTGACTTAGCACCACCTCCTGCCACCACGAAGTCTTTCCATGAGAAGACCCTTTTCAACTTGAGTACAGGTAGTGAACAATAGTATATCTCTATCTGGACTGTATCATTATGGACAAATTGAATTAAACATACCATAAAATCCATAACCATTATTACACTTTAACATAAAGTCACTGTGGCATCCCTTAATATGGCAATATTTTTACTTCAAGGAAACAAGAAAAGAGGCTTCTAATCATCCCCTTAAGATGGCGGAGGGATGTGCAAAAAGAATTCATCCTTGATCAGAATAGCATATTTCATATTATAAAAGGTGCCTAGAGGCATCTGGGTGGCTCAGTCAGCTAAGCGTCCGACTCTTGATTTCAGTTCAGGTCATGATCTCACGTTTGTAAGATAAAGCCCCAAGTCCCACTGCACACTGGGTATGGAGCCTGCTTAAGATTCTCTCTCTCCCTCTCCCTTTGCCCCATGCCTTCTTGCTTGCTCTCTCTCTCTCTCTCTCTCTCTCTCTCAAAAAAAAAAAAAAAATGTGCCTAGAGTTGACTTCCTGCTCTGGTGTGAATCATGGTGGTGGCTGTCTTGGCAAGATGTGGCCCATGTGTTGTATGAAATACCACAGGTACCAGTTGCAACAAAGTCACCATTGTCTTTCTGTAATGAACTCATTTTAAACAGCTAAGTGTCCTAAAGCGAATCCAAGTGTGCCTGGTGTCCAGAAGGTCAATTACTGCATGGTGTTAGACAATGGGACCACATTACTACTAACCAGGTTGCTTTGAGTTTTTGTTTTTAATAATGTTGCTCTATTAGAATAAAGAAACAGTACAACAGACATTGAGTCAGACATTGTGACACAATGACAGATCTAAATTGCCAGTATACATAAATTCCACAAAACAACACTGACCCTGAATCAAGCTGAACATTTTATATACAATTTCCAGTCAACTCCAGGCTTGCTTTGGAGGAATTTTCTTGGAACAAATAGATAGGACTTAAATATTCCTTTCTATGCTGAAACTCCATTCCTTGTAATGACTGTTATAGCCAATTCCCACTTTTTTGTGGTAAAGGGAATGGATATTGAATCAGCTCATACTCTTAATTTTTTGCAGATAACTTCCAGAAAATTTATCTTACTTCCAACAAGCTTCTACAGGCATTTCCTTGGATTTTCACATTTATACCTCAGTATTACTCTTCAAAGATGTTTCCTTTTAACGTGAAAATTGTATTAATTTCTAAATTCTTCATGTGACAACAAAACAGGCATTTTCCAAAAACAAAAAAGCAGAAGTG